CACTCAGCGGTGAGTCTGCTTCTCCCTCTCCATCTGCTCCTCCCCCCTGCTCATGCTCTCTCTCAAATAAATAATAAATAAAATTTTAAAAAACAAAAGAAAACAAAACAAAAGATGAAGAAGCTGGAAAATATCCACACTGGCCTTGGTGTGAGGAAACAGACCCTTCCAACCCTGCAGAAGGGGCAGAATTGATTCAAACTCTTTGAAGGCAGTTTAGCAATATAAGATTGCAGCCTCTGTTGGGCCCAACAATCCCTCGTGTAGGATCTCAAATCGTTTAAAAAAAAAAAATGACGTAGGTCTTTCAGTGCTGTTTGAACAATCTCCAGGATACTGTTTGGTTTAAAAAGCAGAAGATGTAGAGATCAGTGAATATAGTTTGATCTCACTGGAAATACATACATCTCCAAAAAATGCACACACGATTTATTATGTGTTTCACTCTTCATACACGAAGGCCTGTATAAAAACTAAAACATTCATAGGGAGCCTGGATGGCTCAGTTGGTGGAGCATGTGACTCTTGATCTCAGGGTTGTGAATTCAAGCCCTACATTGGGTGTAGAGATTACTTTAAAAATAAATAAATAAAAAATCTTAAAAAACAAAACCAAAAAACCCTAAGTCATTTGTTTCTGTCCTTTGACATAAAATACTGTATGTTACTTGAAAATACAAAGTCTCTATCGCTATTGAAATGTGTTAATGTCTGAAAAGTTTTATCATTTTCTTGGGAGGCTCCATATCAGATGTTTGAAGCAGGAACTATCTCCAGAAAATGGCAACTTTTAATGGTAGTTGCCCCTGGGGAGGGCAGGGATCTGAAGGCAAGGACACTTTATGCTGCCATATATATACTTTTATACTGCCTGAATTTTTACCATGTGCAATTGTTACCTTAAAAAAGAGTAAGTTCCGGGCACCTGGGTGGCTCAGTTGGTTAAGCGACTGCCTTCGGCTCAGGTCATGATCCTGGAGTCCCGGGATCGAGTCCCGCATCGGGCTCCCTGCTTGGCGGGGAGTCTGCTTCTCCCTCTGACCCTCCTCCCTCTCATGCTCTCTGTCTCTCATTCTCTCTCTCTCTCAAATAAATAAAATCTTTAAAAAAAAAAAAAGAGTAAGTTCCAAATGTTTATTTATTTATTTTTTTAGATTTTATTTATTTATTTGACAGAGAGAGACACAGCGAGAGAGGGAACACAAGCGGGGGGGTGGGAGAGGGAGAAGTAGGCTTCCTGTTGAGCAGGAGCCCGATGCGGGGCTCGGTCCCAGGACACCGGGATCACGACCTGAGCCGAAGGCAGACGCTCAACGACTGAGCCACCCAGGTGCCCCCCAAATGTTTATTAATCAATCAAACCCCTTTAATGTTCTCCCTCAAACAAGAGCACAGAAAAAACTGCTTCATGCTTTGGCAGCCGTCCTGCAACTGTGGAAAGACCAAAAGAATCCCACAGAGGCCAAGTCACTTGCCAGGGCCACAGGCCCAGATCTGATGCCACAGCGTACCCCGCTACCACACTACCCATGGTCTTGAGTCCTTCTGTAAAGCCTATGCCATCCTATGTGGGGGATGCCTTCTTTGCTCCCAGCGCCTTGGGCTTCCCCCTCACAGCACTGTACTGAAGACCACTTCACTTGTCTTATTCTTCTAGCAGACTGAATTCCGGGGTGGTGGGTCAGCCTTGGTCACCGCTGTATCTCTAAGGCCTGCTGACAGGATGAGATGTTGGGAGAAGGAAATTCCAAAGCAATTCTCTCCACTCCTAAGATTATTTCCCCTCTGGCGATTCCTAGGTAGGGCGATTGGGGTTTTTTGTTTTGTTTTGTAAGATTTTATTTATTTATTTGAGAGAGAGAGCGAGCAGGAGGAGAGACAGAGGGAAAGGGAGAGAGAATTCCAAGGGGACTCGGCATTCAGCGCAGAGCTCAAAACAGAGCTTGATCTCATGACCCTGAGATCGTGACCTAAGCCGAAACCAAGAGGTGGATGCTTAACCAACTGAGCCATATCTGGGGGGCAACTGGGTGGCTCAGTCGTCAAGCGTCTGCCTTTGGCTCAGGTCATAATCCTGGGGTCCGGGGATCAAGCCCCACATCAGGCTCTCTACTCAGCAGGAGGCCTGCTTTTCCCTCTCCCATTGTGTTTCCTCTCTCACTGTCTCTCTCTCTGTCAAATAAATAAATAAAATCTTTTTAAAAATTAAATTGCCGGGCACCTGGGTGGCTCAGTTGGTTAAGCGACTGCCTTCGGCTCAGGTCATGATCCTGGAGCCCCGAGATCGAGTCCCGCATCGGGCTCCCTGCTCGGCAGGGAGCCTGCTTCTCCCTCTGACCCTCCCCACCTCTCATGTGCTCTCTGTCTCTCTCATTCTCTCTGTCTCAAATAAATAAATAAAATCTTTAAAAAAAAATTAAATTGCCAAATTTGGGGGCACCTGGGTGGCTCAGTTGGTTAGCGGCTGCCTTCAGCTCAGGTCATGGTCTCAGGGTCTTGGGATCGAGCCCCACATCGGGCTCCCTACTCAGTGGGGACTCTGCTTCTCCCTCTCCCTCTGCCCCCAACCCCCCCCATTCCTGCTCACTCACACTCACTCGCTCTCAAATAAGTAAAAATAAAATCTTTAAAAGAAATAAAAATAAATAAAATTGCCAAATTTGATTTAAATTGCACCCCTGGGGCAACTGCTTTAAAGTTCAGCAAAACCCAGCAAAATCCTGTCCCTGGGCTCAGTTACAGGAGGGTTCCTAAGAACCATCTCCTGTTGCATCAGCATACAGGGGTGGAGGGAGGGAAACCTCACATATAAACTCCTTCCTCTGGGTCAGAAACCCAGGAAACAAGGGGGCTGAGAGGCCCTGCCCAGCTTGCGTCTTGGGTTGTGACCTAGAACTCTCCCTCTTGGGAAGCACCTACCTCCTCCCCACCCCAGCACCTCTGACAGCAAACCTTCAGACAGGGGGAAGAGGGCTGTCCTTGTTCCTCGAGGGGCATTCACTGAGTCCTTTCATGGGAAGCTCCAACTTCTAATTACCAGGGTGTGGGGAGGTGTCTCTAAAGTGAGGTGTCATATCTCCTGAGGCCCCTCCCCCTCTTGCCTTAATCTGGGGGAGAGGGGGTCCGTGCAGGAGTGGCAGCCTAGTCCTGGGACTTCCCATTGCCCACCATCACCCTCAGGATGGCTTAGCCCAGCTGGGGTTGGCAGCCCCCCAGTGGATCCCCACCACCACCCATTGGAGCCCAAACCCTCAACAATCCCAGACTTAGAATCTCATTCCCTTTCAGCACCATCCCCCACGCCTTTCAATTCCCACCCCGTAGCCTGTAACTCAGCATCACGATCCTGTGCTTGAACGATCTTTGAATCAATCACTTAGAAATTAGAACTTCTTGTTTTTAAAAAGTAACATTTACTTTTTTCCCGATTACAAGAGTAATATATGTTCATTGTAGATAATCTGGGAAAACCACCAAAAAGTACCAAAGAGGAACAGGAGATTCAGCAATTCCACCATCTAGTGGTAGCCACCATCAACATCTTGTGTGACACAGTAATTCTGTGAATGCAATGCTGTGTTCCTTCCAAACTTCCTTAGGCACATCAGTCCCCTCAGCTCACCTTTGACCTTCCAACCTCCCCTCTTGCCCCATCTGTTCTTGCGCAAATTATTAAAGAACCATCAGAAGTTGGTCCAAGACCAATCCTTACTACAATCCTAGGGTGGGAATTGCTATCCCATTTCCATAGATGAGGAAAATAAGAATCAGAGAGGGTAACTGTCTTGCTTGAGATCATACGGTTTAATATTAAGGGGTGAGGTTGGGTTTTTCACTCATCTGTCCAAATTCAAAGCCTGTGTCTCCAACCTAAGTTTTCCATTCAGATTCCCTGCCCTCTCAAGCGCACTCAGAAGAACTCTCAGAGGAATGACAGGTCAAAGTTCTGAGCAGGAAGACCCCTGAGCCTAGTGTTTGTGGTAGGACCTCTTGAGCCAGCTCCCTAAGTCAGGTCAGCCGCCAAAAGGTCACAGAGCATCCGCCCTTTCCACAGGATGGCCCCTCGTGTCTTCTACCTAATCTCACATCCCAGTTTGAGAAGGTGGATTGGGCACATCAGAAGTGGAGGCTCATTTTCAGAGTGAATCCCTTTAGGCTCACCAAACTGGGAAAAGCCTGTCTGCTGAGAAAGAACAGCTGAATGGTTCCATTTCCACTGGCAGCTGTTTGGTTGAACTTAGGGGTGCTCCCTGTCCCACCAGCTCTGGAGAACTAGACCAGTCGAGGGGCTGCTTTGGGACCGAAAAGCAAGGTTGACATCTCGTACAAGGTGCTCCCAACCGGGCCGGAGCGATCTTCCTTGAAGACGCAAACCTGGGTGATTTTGCACTTGTGCCGTTTCCAGTTTACTTGCCTGTGAGGCTGGTTGGCGTGCAACTTGGGACTCCATTCTAGCAAGTGCTGGGATCCAGGACGAGATCAGGCGGCTCCCTTGCTAACTGACTGCAGTCTGCGCCCAGGTGTCCCGGGGCGTCAGGAGCGATAGCTAAAGGGGAGGGGTGAGCAAAACGCTTCCAAGGCCCGGCTCTGAATGAAGGTACGGGTCCAAACGAGATGACTGCACGACTCGACCCAGGCTCCCCATAGCCCTGAGGCTAGAGGCTCAACTAAGAGGCTTCGTCGCGCTCAGAAACGGGAAGTCACTACCCCCCACGGGACGTCCCCGGCTCCCCTGATGTTCCTACCAAACCCCACACCAGACGACGTCTCCCCACATCTAAGGGGCCTCAACCAACAGCTTCCAACGGACTGGGCGCCGGCCCCTGACCTCTTTCTTTTCACGCCCCTTCCCCGGCCACGAACAGACGGGGACCCCAACTTGGCTCCACGCACCGACGGGCAGGTAGCCCCTGCCTAAACCCTGCACCGCGAGCTGCGCCTGGGAACCGCAAACCCATCCCGGGCCTGGGACCGGAAAGAAGTCGGAGGGGTGTGGGAGGGGAGCGGGAAGCGGGGACGGGCGCTTCCGGTTATTCACTTCCGCTTCCGGCTCTTAAAGTCCACTCTGACCCCGGCTCCGCCCTCGAGCGAGGAGGTTGTGGCGTCGGCTGGTTCCAGGCGTTTCGAGGTGAGGGGCTGGGGAGAGATTTACGGAGTCGCGGAAAACTGATGGGACCCGGCCATCGGGGGGGTGCGCGCCTGCGAGAGGCGAGGCGGGGCCTTCAGGCGACCTGAGGGGGGAGGCGCGGCTGCCTGGGGTCCGTGGTCCTGGGAGTTGAGGCCCGGGAGGACGCGGATCCGGGAGGTTGAGGGGTAAACAGAAGACTCAAACCCGGGGTCAGGGTCCTGGGAGACCCCTGCAGTCCTGACTCTGCTGCCTTCCACCCCACGCTGTGTGTAGCTCCAGACAGGATGATCGAGGTTGTTTGCAACGACCGTCTGGGGAAGAAGGTCCGCGTTAAGTGCAAGTATCCACCGGCGGCCAAGAGGCAGTGGTTCCTGGGGTGCTTGGCAGGAGCCAGGCAACTCAGTCTGTGTTGTAGGGTGACTTCGGTTAAACCCGGGCGAGGGGGCGGATGGGGTCCCGGCAGAGTGCCTTCAGCCCTGGAATGCCCTCTTCCACGTTCTACCTCTCCCTTCCATTTTCCTTAACTCGTCTGCGCCCAGCACTGATGACACCATCGGGGACCTTAAGAAGCTGATCGCAGCCCAAACTGGCACCCGTTGGAACAAGATCGTCCTGAAGAAGTGGTGAGTGCAGTGTAGAGCTGGGGGCTGGACGGGACTAGGTCAGGTTTGGGTTGGGGAGCCCTGCGGGCTTAGGCAGAGCTTCCTCAGCTTGCCTCCAGGATGAAAAGCCACCGTAGACTTCTGTCTAAAAGGTTTCTATCCCGCAGGTACACGATTTTTAAGGACCATGTGTCTCTGGGGGACTGTATCCTTTGTGTGACTTCTTGGGCAGCGTCTACATAACCAGACTTGGTTCTCTTTGTTCAGTGCTGGGAGTCTGCATGAGATTGTGCACATAAAGTGTTTAACTTAGTATGCAGCACATGGTAAGCGTTTAGAAAATGGGAGCCATGTAGTTGTTTTGTTGGGGGAAGAGGGTGGTTGGTGAAATACTTTGACTTGGCTTAGAAGACACTTTATTTTTTTAAGATTTTATTTATTCATTTGACAGAGAGAGAGACACATAGTGAGAGAGGGAACACGAGCAGGGGGAGTGGGAGAGAGAGAAGCAGGCTTCCCGCCGAGCAGGGAGCCCGATGCAGGGCTGATCCCAGGACTCTGGGATCACGACCTGAGCCGAAGGCAGACGCTTAACGACTGAGCCACCCAGGCGCCCCTCAGAAGACACTTTAAGGTCAAAATATATATTACTGAACTCTACCTGAGTGTGGACAGGAGGTCAGTGTGGAGTGAGACTCAGGCGAGTCTGTCGTGCAAAGGGAGTGTGAACTTTTTTTTTAATAGTTTGGGATCAAAATGACCCAGTTCCAAATGGCTTCCTTGGCCCTGGGTGGAGTCCTCAAGCCACCCTGACCTACCCGTGCAAGATGAGAGGGGTGGAGATGGAGGCCACAGTGAGAATTCCTTAACACCTTTACTTCAGATGAAATCCATGATGGGATGAACCTGGAGCTTTATTACCAATAGAGCAGAATTCCTTCTCCTGGACATGCCCTGCCTTACCCTCTCCTCTTCTTCCGCCCATCCCCTCCTCTCCCACCCTCACCCCCACACTGGAATGGATGCTTGTTTTTAAAAACTCATGTTAATAAAATCTTAGAAGTTGCTTCATTGTTGTCATTTTTGAGTGAGGCCTTGTCTGATGTGGGGAGGGTTGACATCTGGTTGTCACTATACTCTCAGTACCCAGCTGCTCAGTAAGAGCTCAGGATCAACTGGATGCCTGAGGGAAGAGTAAGCCAGCAGCCTGGGAGCCTGAATGGAAGCCCACCTACAGCTCTGGGATTTGCCATGGGTCTGTAAAGGTCAAGAGATTGTGGGATTATTGTCATCCTAATAGACCAAGGGGTGTCTGGGTAAGGACAGTAGATACAGTAGTTAGGAATACAGGTTCTGGATTCAGACCGACTATGGTTGGAATCCCAGCTCTGCCCCGATAGTGATTCTGAGCAGGGTAATTAAATTCTCTACGACTTCATTTCCTTATCCAAACTGGAACTGATAGTGTTTACTTCATTGCCATGTTGTGGAATGTAGATGAGCCAAAGCATGGTTAAGCATCCACAGTTCCTGGACTCTTGAAATCCTAGGGGACAGAGTGAGAGAGCGTGGCATAGGCTGAACTTTGGTCTTTAGTGGTGGGATTTGGGGAACCCAGCCTCTTTGATCCTCGTTTTCCTACTCTAAAAAGGAGCACCATGATGACACCCACATCTCAATGAGATAATGCGGTTAAAACAGCAGGATGTCTGGCACAAAGTGTTTTAAGCTGTCTCCAACCTTCCCCCAGGTGGGAGTAGACAGGACACCAAACACCCCATCTGTGTTCCCCGTGGCCGCAGATCCCAGGGTCGAGGTTGGCCTTTCCCCAGAGCTGCATTCTGGAGCCGTTCTCAGGAGCTTCGCCCAGAAACTTGCCCCATCCCTTTTCCCCTCTCTCGTATTGACCTGGCTGATGTCTTGCAGTACATTAACATGTTCAAGTCTAGCCTACTGCTCCTCCCCTTCCCCCTAAGCCCCGCCCAGTCTACTGCCTTCACTTCACTACCAAGCTTCTTGGGAGGTAGACCTGCCTGCTGCCTAGGGTGCTGCTGGCCTGTAGTTCATGGAGGATGATCTTTCCTTGGTCCCCATTAGACACCTTCCTACCTGCCCTCTTGGCTTCCCTTCTGTCCTTAGGACTCAGCTCCCTCCTGATGTCAGAAATGTCTGTTTCCTGATACCTTGCTCTTCCTACTCTTAGAGCTATCTCCCCCCATATTTGTCTACTTAAAAATAGATCCAACAAGATGTTTTTTTTAATACACCATAGCCTTGTCAAGGTGGTTACTTGTTAATTTCAAATCAGCATAGAAAAGTACGGGCTGAAAGTAAAACCCTTCTTGTCCCATTCTCTCTCCTGAAGTCAGGTCTTTTCCAATACATTTATAGAAACTCCATTTTTATTTTTTTTAAATGGCCATGCTAATATCTGCTTGTAAAAACAATCCAAATGTTTTGTTAAAAAATAAGTTTCTTATTAACAGCACCCTTCCCACCAGTGGCAATTCTTAACATTTGAGTAAATCAGTAATTTTCTAAAATACAATCTATAATTTTTATACAATTGGGATAATTATGCATTCTGTAATATATACCATTCGGTGCTTTTTTGTTTGTTTTTAAAGTAGGCTCTGTGCCCAATGTGGGACTTGAACTCATGACCCCAAGATCAAATCACATTTTCCACCGACCAAGCCAGCCAGGCACCCCAGTAGCTTGCTTTTTTATGCTTTATTTTTCACCTTTCCATATAAATTGTCTCATTCCTTTTCATTAGTTTATTGGTACTTGCTTGTTTTGCTTTTTTTACGTAAAAAGGAAGTATGGAGGGATTTTTGTGATGATGGCACGCCCCTGTGTAGAACTGTAGTGGTGGATGAAGGACTTTGCTTTTGTCAACCAGGATGTAGGAAGAAAGATGGAATGCAGGCTGTCAAATGAATCTGCCTGTATTGTAAGTGAATCACATGACCACACCAAAAGGGGTTGGGAAGAAAGGAGCTAACTTAAGTAACTTTGGAAAAAGTTTTTTTTTTTTTTAAGATTTTATTTATTTTTGACAGAGAGAGTGTACAAGCAGGGAAGCAGCAGGCAGAGGGGGAGGGAGAAGCAGGCTCCCTGCTGAGCAAGGAGCCCGATGTGGGGCTCGATCCGAGGACCCTGGGATCATGACCTGAGCCAAAGGCAGACGCTTAATGACTGAGCCACCCAGGCACCCCTGGAAAAAGTATTTTAACTGGATACTGTAAGGCTAAAGATAAAAAAGAATTATACATAAACCCTGTACTCTAATTAAATAAATTCCTCACAGCATTATGATTAAGCAATTCTGGAACTACTTTTGTACATATATAACCACACACACACACACACACACACACACACGGTTGAATGAATGGGTAAATATACTGTAGATAGTGAGAACCAGATTTCTCACTGCTAGAGGAAGAAGTTACAAAGAAAACAAGGTGGGATGAAAGGAGGTAGCTAGAATAAACCCTGTGAGGCTGGATTAGAGTTGGAGGCATCAGTATGGACTCATACTAAAAACTAAACTTTTTAGTTTAGTATGTATACAGACATGCAGAAATGCAGATATGTATGTTTATATTTCCTTGCTTTATCCACTTGGACCAGAAGCAGTGACACCCCAGTAACAATGGGCATACCCAGCACCTAGATCTTGGTTTCTAAACACCATTCTCCAATGAAAGGAACCAAGCCTTATAGAAGTGATTGGTTCCCAGAACTAGAACAGAGAATTTACAAGCTGAGCCTGGAATATCTTGTGATGCCACGAAGTAGGAAGTGCTCAAATAGAAAGGGTGAGAGCGTGTAGAAAGGGCACAGAAGCCAACTTGTGAAAGAGCTCTCAGTGGCCAAATTGGAACAACCTGAACAACCAAATAATAATAATATTGGACTATGATCAAAAGAATAAATATCTTTGAGCCCATGCTCGTATCAATAAATAATTGAATATGTAAATAAACGGGGGAGAAGGGACAATTCTTTATTACAAAAGAATTGCAGTTAAATGTAGAAGGAAAGAAGGAAATAAGAAATCACCACTGCATCACCATAGTAATAATTGCTGTAGACAAAGAAATATTGATAGATGCTAAAATTGGTGGGCAAAAGTTTAAGCAGAAGTAGTCTCAAAGTATCTCTCAAAAAGAGGAAAATAGTAAGTTTACAAAGAGGAAGAGGAAAATAGTAAATCCATCACAAAGAGAAAAATAATAAGTTTAGATACTGCCTTAACCAAGTGATCAAAGTTAATAACCATCACAAGTGGGAGGCAGATTGTTAAGGTGGTCCCTAATGATCCTCTTGTCCTGGTATTCACATCCTTGTGTAATCCCTTCCTCTTGAGCATAGACCAGACCTAGTTTCTAACAAATAGAACAAGGCAAAAGTAATGGGATATCACTTCTGAGATTAAGTTGCAAAGAGAATGTGGCTTTTGTCTTGCTTTCCCACTTGTTCATTGATGAAAGCCAGCTGCCTCATGGAGAGGCCCCCAGCTAAAGCTAGTGAGGAAATCTATTCCTCAGTCCGTGATCACCTTAGCAACTAAATCCTGAAAGCAACCACATGAAGGAGCTTGGAAGTAGATCCTGCCCCAGTCAAGCCTTCAGATGAGACCACAGCCATTCCTGCGGACACCAGCTAAACTGTGCCTGGATTCCTGACCCATAGAAACTGTGAAATAATAAATGTTAATCCACTAAATTGTGGGGTAATTTGTTACACAGCAAAAGATGCCTTAATACAAGTAAAACAATGCAACATCATTGATCACCTGGTATGATGCACTGAGAAGGGCACATTGTCTCTGTGATATCCTTCCCAATCACATGGAACCTCAATCAAATCATGAGAATATCAGACAAACCCTATCATGGCAAAATATCAGAATGAGGGACATTCTGCTTTCTGAAAGTATGAAAGGTCATGAAAGACAAGAAAAGACCTAAAAAATGTCATGTACTGGAGGAAACTGACAATGACAATGTGTGTCCTGGAACATAAAAAGAATGTTAGTGGGAAAATGGGAAATTCTTTTCTAAAGTCTAGTTTAATTAATAGTATTGTACTAATGTTGATTTCCAATAGTATTTACAAATGTTTGATCATTATTCTATGGCAGGGTTTCTCAGCTTTGGCACTGTTGACATTGGGGCTGGATAATTCTTTGTTGGGGTGGCTGTGCATTGTAGGATGTTCAACAACATCCCTGGCCTCTACCCACTAAATGCCAGCAGCATCTCCCTATCCACCATTTGTGACAACCAAAAATGTCTAAGATATTGCCAAATGTACCCTGGGGGGAAAAATGACCCCTGGTGATCTCTGTTCTATTATTATTTTTTTAAGATTTTATTTATTTATTTGAGAGAGAGAAAGAGAGAGAGAGAGCACAAGAGGGGGGAGTGGGAGAGGGAGAAGCAGACTCCCCGCTGAGCAGGGAGCCCGATGCGGGACTCGATCCCGGGACTCCAGGATCATGACCTGAGCCAAAGGCAGTCACTCAACCAACTGAGCCACCCAGGCGCCCTGTTCTATTATTTTTTTAAGACTTTATTTTTAAGCAATCTCTACACAGGATGTGGGGTACGAACTCACAATGCCAAGATAGAGAGTCCCATGCTCCACCAACTGAGCCAACCAGGAGCCCCACCTCCATTCTGTTATTATGTAAGGTGTTAATATAAGGGATGGCTGGGTAACGGGTAGATGAAAAATCTATACTATTTTTGCAATTCTGTGCTAAGTTGAAAATCATCTTTTAAAAAAAGATTATGGAGGGGTGCCGGGTGACTCGGTTGTTAAGCGTCTGCCTTCGGCTTAGGTCATGATCTCAGGGTCCTGGAATCGAGCCCCATATCAGGCTCCCTGCTCAGCAGGAAGCCTGCTTCTCCCTCCCCAACTCCCACTGCTTGTGTTCCCTCTCTCGCTGTCTCTCTCTCTGTCAAATAAATAAATAAAATATTTAAAAGATAAAATAAATAAAGATTATGGTTATGATTTGTAAAAAAATTAAAATGTTATATTGAAACTT